CTATGACAAATAAATCTGCAGCTTCCCAGAAAGATACAAGGTTATGCGTAACTAGACTTCCAGGGGATAGATCTTTTCAATACAGCGGTCCTTTCAGATCAACAAGCAAGCACGATTGGAGACCAAACACCACATTTTCACTGCTATGCCCAGGAGGTTCGGGTTAGTTTGGGCCAAATTGTGTGAGGAAATGTAATAATGAACAATAAAATTTAAGCTCCAGAAGACATCTTAAGCATAGGAGATTTAAGCCTAGAGCAGTGTTTTTCAACCTTTTCAGACTCCGGGCCCTCTCATTAGACTCAAGACACCACCCCAGAAAACCCCAGCTCTTAGTTTTCAGGTGTTTGAGTACAGAAAAATAACGGAGCATTTCTTCTATTGCAAAGAACTCAGAAAGACCGCAACACGGCTGAATGTTTTTGACACCATGGATTTCTATTTGAAATCTTTGGGTTTATCTTGGGATTCATGTATAGGTGTTCCTAGTTAACGATGCTAATACGGTGCTTCACTTCACAGTACCCCAAGGTGTCACAACAGCAGCCTGTTGAGCATCACTGGTCCAGGGCCTTGTAAGAGGAGGCATGAATGACTTGTGTTTTACTTTCAGAGCTCTTAAAATGTTCAGCCCTAAATGTAGTTTTTAAGAGTTCCTTGTTGTAACGTTATACTTTTATCATTATACTACAGGCCTCTCTTAACACGTGACATTTCAAACACGTAGTGCCACAAGGTTCGTTTAGCTTTATGTCTATTAAAGAAAGAGAAGAAAGGGTAACTAATACTGAATTATGAGTAAAATTGTGGCTCAGACGAACTCAGAAGCAAGATTCCTGTTTACATCAAGAGGAGCAGGATTTTCCCTATTTGCAGAGCATGGAGTTGGGACTGCAGTGCTCACTATGCCTGAGACCAGTAGAGGGAAGGTAGGCGCTTGCCAGAGTATTGTCTAGTAAGGTATATTTTGGCTCCAAATAATCTGCACTTACTACAGAGAGATTAAGACTGTTTTCATGTTTTCTTACATGGAATAAATCTCTCTGTTTTGTCTTCTTTCAGAAGCTTTTCCCTTTGAGGTTAATTTACAGTAACTTTATTGTAAATCAATGGTTAAAAGATAGTAGTGTAGTGTAATGGTGGGATATTGAGATGCACAGAGTCTTCCATGTAGGATATCCATAGTTTACACCAGTTTCTTTGTAGAACAATTCTCTTTATGTGATGATGGCTTTCAGTGTGCAGACAGTGATACAACCTCTGAAACAAGGGCTATTTTTGCTGCTGCTTAAGGACTTACCTTAAGTATTATCAATAACTGTTACAGTTATATTTTTGTTTGCTTTAATCCATACCAGTTTATTGTGATTTTAGCATTTCTATCCATGTCCAACAAAGTCAGAACATTTTTTAAAAATCAAATTGAAAAAGTTGACTCAGTAAAGAGCTCTAGAAATAGTTTCTGATAAACTACGGTTGGTCTCCCTCCAGAGTTAATTAGGTCCTTCAGTATCTTAAGGAGATTGTAAATTGCCTGTTTCAACAGATGTTCTCTTTAAAAAATGGCTTATTTGGGAAATGATAGGTCTTTGTCAGAGCTTTCACTGTGGAATATAAAAATTAATACCAACAAACTATAGCCCCAAATATTACAAACTCTTTCTGCATAACAATAATAGGCCACTCTTCTTATCAGTTTAGTTTAAAAATTAATAAGATACCATGTATTCCCTTAAAGACATTTTGATTGTTTGTTAAGTTGCATTTGTTAATTTATGTACTTTTCTGTGTCAAGAAGTGGTCATAGCGTGGATGCTTGTACACATGCTCCGATGTGTTCCAGTTAGAACGCATTCTAATCTAGCGTGTTGCGAGATCTCGTGTACTCAGCGCCCTCACGTTTCAAAATGGCAGCAGGGGTGCTTTAACTAAAGCTCATCGAAGAAGCAAAACCACGAGGAAACGTAACTGAAAAGTGGGTCAAAGAATGCCTCTTGAAAGCATGTGATCGGTTGATCAGTTACAAAACACACCACTTTCACTTTGCAGGACTTCAGTGTTGGACTACTTTACAGGCAGACTTTTATTCTGGGTGGAACAAACAACGCAAAACCAAATAAAACCTGAAAGGTAACCTCTGACCATGATGTCAACTTTTCCTAACCCCTTCCTCCCCTTAGTTTCCAAACAAAACTGTCGAGCAGATTAGGTTAAACAGAAATGACCCAAACATAGATGCATTTTTGATATCCAGATCTCAGGTTCCTGTAAGTATTTGCTTAAAGTAAAAACCCCAGAACAAAAATGTGTCTGTGCAACCAATAGCTGTTGGAAATTACCTCACTAACTTAGGTTAGTGAGGTCTGGGTACTAACTCATATTTTAAGTTAGGCAGTAAAAATATATTTGAGACAGAATAGATTGCACAATAAAATGTTCACCTGATCAGAATTAGTTTGTGAAACCTAGGATCCAATTTACATAGCAATGTTAAGGATACATACTTTAGGCCACATTTAGCCTCTCCCTTAAAAAAAAAAAAAATCAATGGCAAAACTGTTCATGCTTTCAATGGAGCCAGGACTTCACCTTTTATGTATGTTGGCATGTCACTGCTTTATTTTATTTCATTAAACTTAATGAACAGGTTTTACTTTTTTTTCTTCTTGTAATAGCACTTCATTCACTTTCTACCTAGTTGGCACTCATCCTTAAAGTATATTAGGTTGGTACTGCCTTTTTCATTTTCAAATTCATGGTTGCTTGGTGGTCTTAATTTTCTCATAGTATTCAAAGATGACAGATTAATAGGTGGTTCCCTTCAACTATGTGGGCAGATCTTTAATGGATCTCATTAGTTTATATTAGCGGGTAGTGTACAGAGACGTGGAAGCTATTCCTAGAGGACAGTCCACAGCACCAACATCTGTACTTTCAGATAAAAAAAATAAAATAAAATCCTCACTGCTGTGATTCAGTAAATCCTGTCTAAATCAATTTCTAAGACGAAGAAACAAAGTAAATTATTTAGCTAACATAAATATTAAAGAAAATTGCAAAACATATTTTGGTGTTACAATGTTGTTGCTACAAAATCATCTCGTTATAGCTTCTGGCAAAATACAGTTGTCCTTAATATCAGTGAAAGGGAACCTTCTGAGATTTACCAAGCATCCCTTCCATGCCTGCTTGCTGTCTACAACATTTAGGAGTATGCCAGCCTGTTAGTCAACTCAGCAGAGAATTCGGTGGGATCTCCTATCATAATAAGCCCTGAGCTAGGAATGGATTATGGGAAAAAAAAAATTATCACAACATCAAATCCAAGTCAAGTTTGGCACTCGGCCAAAAAAAACTTGGACATTTATATTAACACGGCATACATAAAAGGATTTAATTTTACACAAAAACATTTTTATTTAACTTTACACTGGCCTTTTTTTTTTTTTTTAGCAGCTGCTTAGGTTTCTAGGTAACCCTGAAGTTTAATAAACCTGTACAATGATAATTAAACACTGTAAATAATTTATCTGCTTAATCTTCCTAACTGGCCTTTTATTCCTTTGTAGGAAAGTGATCCATGCTGACATTCTGAATAAGGTTGGCAAAATAAGTGCAGTGAGGAGTGGTAGTATAAAGTGGATTTGCTCTCAATAATGTATGAAGCCACATGCTGGGTAGAGGAATCCTCACAAAAGCGGTACCACGGCAATCTGTTCCTTTCATCTGCAGCCAGCATTTAAAGCGAAGGTGCTGCTCCGAATCAAAAGCACAATCATTCATTTGTGAGCAGATGTCCTTCACACGGCAGGCAGCACTTTTTCAAAACAGAGCTGAACAAATGCACTGCTGTGAGACAAGTTCCCCTACCCATTAAAGAAAGAACACAGTATATATTAATTTAGCAGGTTGTTGAATGTTTTAAAGTAGAATTTATGAAGCAGAAAAGGCATGCCGTGAAACAAAATGGCTTTCCAACTAAACATGAAGAAGCTCCACCCATTCCTGTATTGCAAAATTCACAAGTCTGAGGTGCACGACGATATGAGAAAATAAACTTGAAATGCATTAGTCCTAGATACAGGTGAGGAATCGAAGGTAGATCATATGGCCGCACTGAGTTCACTGTTTTGCTTGTGGCACTTGTGGGCACCCCCGAATGAAAGCATTTTGAGGCTAGCAGGGGGTTCTGTACCTTCTAGCAGGGAAAAGCTGGGAGCTGTGTCACAGCTGGTTAGATGGCTGTTTGTACTTCCCTCCAGAAAGTTATTCCTTGGACACTTTCTTTGTTTTATAAAAGCTATGGCTTTTGGATGTGATCCAACTCCCATTGAGATCCATGGAAAGATTCACACTGACTTCAGTCTGAGTTAGGTTGGGCTCTTTGTTATGGAAATCTCTGTGGCTGCTCTTTGATTTCTTCCCTGCCTAACACCACAACAGATATACTTTCGGTTTAATAAATACGAGCATGTTGTGTAAATATGTGAAATGAAAATCAAAGCCTGCAGCTCTGCTCATAATGATCAGACACATCACATTTAAAAGGTCTTATTTTTCCATCTCTACATCAACTATTACAGTGCAGATTTAGACGTCTTAAAAGCAAAACGTTGCCAATCTGTACATTGTTTAGTTATGGTTTGAAGGCCTACGTAGAGGGGATGTAAGAAAAACCAATTTACTTGCAATGGAAGGAACAGAAAGAGGCAGCAGCATCTGCAACATATATTTTCTACTATAAAATGCTATCGGCATTGCAGTTGCTCCTCCCAGACACTGGGGCTACTGCTGTATTTGGTCAAGAGGCAGTCTTTCTAAGCCATTTCAGCTTCCCCGCTGGATATGCAACTGAAGATGGCAACTGCTGATAAGAGCCCAAGATGAGGATCAAAATATTAGCCTCAGGCTCCTTAAGCCATTCAGCTATGCCCTGGAAATCCTCTCAACTAGCTCTGCACCCAACCTACATATGTGCTAGTACCTAGCTGCCCAAACCTCATGAACATTTAAGCTTCCAGGTGCTGAAGGATGCTTAGGGACCCACCATTCAACTAACTCAGCACCAACTAGTACCCAGGTACTGAACAGCCCTCACATCCAAGGATAGAAATCTAACCAGTTAGTCTCCAAGGTGCTCTAAGGTTATGCCTTCTGCATAACTCCTCCAAGAACACAGAACCACGAGCCACTATGGCCTCTTACAACAGAAGTCATTCCCTCTTCCCCTTCCTACCTTCCACTCTCTTTCTTTCCTCCTTTCCCTTCTACAACCCATCGCATACTGTTACTCTTTATAAGCATAGGGAGAAATGGCACTTGGGCATTCAGTATATCTTCTTTGGTAATCCCTTGCAGTCAAGGATGATTGCCTTCCATGATGTCTTATCTGTGGATCCAAAGACGGCTGACGAGGCCAATCCAGGATCAAGAGAGACTGTTGGAACTTGGGCATGTTTCCATGCAGGATGGGTGGCTCTGGATTCTTGAGTTGATCCACGGCACAGCTTCTGCTGCTCCTGCCTTTCCATCGCCTGTTGTTGCTGTAAGATTACAAAGTACTGAGATCCTCACAGCAGACTCTTCCTCCATTTGGGGTGATGCTGGGCGATAGTCTCCCACAAGCTGATGTTAATGTTGCTTTTTTTTTAAGTTGGCCTTGAGGATGTCCTTCAAGTGCTTTCCTTCCCCTCCTCTAGAGTGCACACCTTGACTGAGCTGGGAAAATAAAACTTGCAGCAGGAGTCTGGAGTCGGAGATTTCAATGAAGTGGCAGCTTAGCAAAGCTGATGTTGGATGATTGTCGCCTCATTGCTCGTGGCGTTCGCTTGAGAGAGGATGCTAATATTGGTGCGTCTGTCTTCCTGCTGGATTTGAAAGATCTTCTGCAGGCAGCATTGATGATGCTTCTCCAGTGACTTGGTGTCTCCTGTACATTGTCTGCATCTTTGTTCCATACAGTAAGCTGTGTGGATCACAAATGTTTGATAAACCATGAGCTTGGTTTTGGAGCTGATGTCGCAATCTGCAAACACCTGTTTCCTTAGGCATCTGAAGGCTGCAACTGTACATCAGAGGCAATGTCAGATTTCTTTGCTGATGTCAGCCTTCTGTGAGAGATGGCATACAAACATACATCTATATTTACAATTACTCATATTATGCAAATTAAATAAGCCTATTAATTTTCACCATTCACATTATAAAACTTTTTCCAAAAATGAATACTTCAGCTTTCCTTCTGTGTAAACATACCACTTCTAGGACTACAATTATTATCCGTTACATGGCAATTTAAAACTGAATATCTGTTTACATATGTATGATTATGAAACTAAGAGTCATTTGTGGATAGTAAACATATAAATGCAGCTAATAACTCTAACAGTAATGATTAATCAATTTATGAATACATTATTTAAACTAATAGTTCAGGTAGGGTATCTTAAACAAGTTACAGAGTATATTGACCAATTCAAATACCAGCTATCAGATCAATAGTAAACTGTAAGTAAACCCTGGGGAATAGGTATACCTGCATAATAAACTCTGAATTTTAAAAATCCCCCTATAGGAAATAGGCTGCCACATCAAAAATAAATTGTATTAGGCTAATACATTTGTGTTTGAGCAAAGTGTATGACCTGGACAAAAGAGAAATGCAAAAGATTAATGCTTCTTAAAAACTTTTCAAATTGCTACAATGAAAAGGAGCCTATTGTCTGGTTGGTTGCTTCGTTATGTTTCCTTTTTCAACTGGCTACTTCTTTAAAAATCCCACTTTCGCTAGAGCTACCTGTCTAAACTGTATAAATAATATACATTTTTAAAAGGTAAGGATTATTTTTTATAAAGCAAGAAGAAACCAGCTCTACAGGCAAATAGCAGAACCAACAAAAAAAAAATGTACAATATTTTCAAAGAGACAAATGAAACAAACAGAAAAAGAAGTATTTTATGTTCCACTGTCTTCTAGTTTTAGAGATCCTCTGTGTTATGTGTGACTATTGTAGATGTATGCTTTTCAGAAGGCATGCGATTTCCAGCTTGACAGTTGAATATTATGCTTGAGGCCTCATTTCTAACAATACTTAAATTTGAAAACAACAGGATTATTCTCATGCATAAATTTTGGTATGTGCAGAATCAGTGCCTAAATTAAAAATCTGGTGTCGTGAAGCTTTATAAAGCGACTCTTGATTCAAAACCTTGACTGACTTCCCTGGAAACAGGTTTGGGTTCTTATTCCAGTTATTTTGTGCTCCAGTAATATCACACGTTTCCTTCAATGTTACTGTAATGTTACACGCATCTTCCTTTACATTACTTTTGCAGGATGACCCACTCCTGAAGCAAGTTAGAGGAATCTGACAACTCTATTCATCGGTAAATCACTGCAGGAAAGTTCCATACCAGATGCAGTGCACATTTTTATCTGAACACATAACTTTAATCCCTCAAATCAGGCTTTTAATTAAAGTTTTCTAATGCAAACTCACTAAATAAACCAAGAACCCTCCACCTACCTTGATACTAAAGGTGTGCTTTATCTCAGTTCCAAGTGATACTGCATTTTAAAAATTAATTAGTAGCTTGCAAGAACAGCCACACATTATTGAGTAAGTAACAGCATTTAAGTGAAACAGATGAAATATTGGTAAGCAATGCAGACCACAGTATAAGTATGTGAAGGGGGTCAGAGGTTAATCCCTATTGATTTTCCAAGTATACGTACAGCACCGCTGGGAAAGGCCGGTTCTGTTGGCAATCAGCTAGCACAAATACATTATAAATCTTACTGTCCACCTTCACTGATCAGTGTCACTTACTTCCTCCACTAAAGACCATTAGGAAACTACAGCAAAACCACTGACATACAACCAGAGAAGAAAGAATCTCAAAAGATGCCTTCTCTTAAGGGGTGAATTTAGATGACATACAATTTGTTTTTAATTGAACAGAAATACATGGCAAAGAACAACATCCTGAGTTTTTGCAATTTTAATATCCTATTTGTAATACCAGCCCAAAGAAACAATCCTCAGGAAAACTACTGGAAAGCAGGAAGGAAAGCATGTAAATGCAAAGATAAATCAGTCACTTTTGTGAATATCATCAAGCCATGTCAAAATTTAACACAAATACTGTGCGGTAATTATTTGGTATCTAGTTACCAGAGGCTGGAGGGGGACGGGGAGAGGGGCACGGACTGCAGTGGGAATTTCTCCTTTAAATCTATGGAAATTTCCCAGATTGATTTATTTTTGCTATTTATTCTTTAGCTATTATAATGGTCATATGGCTACTTTTACTCACCTGGCCACTCTTTAGTTGTGAACAGTTCCACCAATGTCAGAGCATCTTGTGGAATCCATAACAGAACCCATGGCCACGTTGGCTTTTTCTGGAGACCCCCACACACCTGAGTGACCTTCGCCACGTTGGCTTTTTCTGGAGACCCCCACACCCCTGAGTGGCCTTGCTTCTGTGGACCTGTCCACCCCAGCCCCTTCCCTCATCTCTGTGGCTTGAGTAAGCAAAGATTGTGAAATCAGTCCCTTTTATAATGTCAAATACTATTTTATAATACCAAGAAGGTTATTTAAGAATAGCCTATGAAACAAAATGGGCTCAAAAAGATTTTACAGAAAATCTGCAGGCTCTGCAAGCTTCACAGGGAATCCAACGTTTGTGCCCCTAAATGAATGTCAATATAAGCACCTTTGGAAGGGTCCTACCTTTGGAAGGGACATTCAACTATCCGCATAAATAGGGCACAAAAGACGTTCTGCAGGTTGCTGAGCTGTCTTAAGTCTCAAGATCAGCCACCAGAGCTCACACACATAGTACATTACAGGTTCACGTTCAAAGACCTAAAGCCTTAAAATGCCACTTGTCTTGCAAAGAGAGTGTCTTTCTGAATTACAGCCTTTTATTCTTGTACATTATCTAGGACACTATGGGTACACAAGGTATCAAGTAAATTATCAATGATAGCGATGTGCTTTGAAGCAAGGGCCAGACTTCATTTTTCTCCCCACTATCCTCCACTCCATCGAAGTTCAATTTTAGCAAAGCCAAAAGGTCCTGCAGTGACTTTCAATGACCCTGGAGGGTGATACCAGAATTATTAAGGAAGCCTAGGGCTCTATTAATTTTTCCAGACTACTTTCACTGGGCTGAAAGTAATCCCTAGACATGCCCATTGGCTACCAAGTTTCTCTTTATTCCCAGCCTCCCTTCCCCAACCCAGCACAGAGCTAGATGATACGAGTCTCTACAGGTTACTGGGAAGGGGTGGGAACACAAGGCGTTTTTACACGTGCTGGAAGGGCGGAGCGGGGGACACGCTTTAATTAAAGCATCCATAGCGTCTCATGTATCAGTGTTCCCGTGCTTCAAAATGGTGGTGCAGGCACTTTATCTAAAGCTCGGCAAACACGCTTTATTTAAAGCACCCCTGTTGCCATTTTGAAGTGCAGGGATGCTGATACATGAGATACAGAGGCTGGCTGGAGCACGGTAATTACCACGCTCCAGCAACTCGATTAATCGAGTAATTAGAGTGTGTCAGACTAGCCTCCTGCACTTTGTCCAGAACTGGGAATGGTAAAGGTGTCTGTAAGTGGTGCTCTCAGGGCACCTTTCCATTTGGCAGCTAGCACATGCAGCACAGCACAGTCCTGCCCGCCCATGGGACGGTTCAGGGGAGACGACTGACGCCTCCTCTGAATTTTTCCTGTGTCTGCTGCCTTCGTGGCCGCATCTCCACAGACGTCCAGTGGAGAACCACTGATTATCTGGCACAATAACAGAAGCTGTATTTAAATGATTTGTATAAACTTCACATGGCAGGCACCTCTAATCCCATTAAAAACAAGCAGACAAAAATGACAAATTGTACAGATTTGGATTTTATTTTTAAAAATCTTGCCATATTCTGCACACTGCTTTCATTTCTTGTTAAAAGGACCCCTTTGTAACTATAACGGGTCAATCTGAAGCATTTTATAACCCTGCATTCTTGTTTTATAAACTGTTTCTCTCCTCTTTGCAATTGTAAACTCAGAGAAACAGGAAGAGAAACTAAGCCCAGAGCTGAAATGGAGCCTCTGATGTCAGTAGGTACCAAGTGGTCACACAGATATGCCCGGATAGCATTTACTGCATGTTCAGAGCCTCCTGGATTGACTGTAGAAGGCGAACAGTGAAGCTGATTGTATATACGCAAAGTGTTACCAAATGCAAAATATGGATACTGGAAAAAAACAGAGACATATATATCATTTCTCTCATCTGTTTCAGTCATCACCTTGAGTACTGCTTGCAACAGGAGCAGGCAAAACGCTGTCAGACAGAAGTGATGATTTTTAAAATCAACACGGTCCGTTTAAAGCCTGTACAAGAGCCTTCAAACAAGACCCAAAGAGAAGGCAGAGGAACACACCTGTAGTGATCTCGGCTACACGGGCTCTCTTGGTAAGGAAGTGGATGTCACACCGAGTCAGTATCAACAAAGTCAACTTTGAAACCAATTAAACTAATCTCCCCTCTCTCGCTGAGATGCTCTGAAACCAGCACTTCCACTAAGGAGCGAGTTTGCACAACTGACAATACTAGCCCAGTTCTGCTAAATATATTACTGGCTATCTCATGCAATTTACCACCGATTGAAAATGGGAGATTTGGCAGCACTCTTGAAGAAAAGACAACAAAAGAAATAAAACAAAAGGAAAAGAATATCTATTTCCCCCCCTACAGATCTGGAAAGCTCCTGATCATAACTCGTATAGTACCGGCTCCTGCTGGAAACCCAGTTTCCACTCACTTTCAGTGCAGCATGTGTTTACAGAAGAAAGCAAACAAGAGCCTGGTATTTCCATTTTAAAATATCATTTAAGGGAATTTTAAAGTATCTTAGAAGATGGATACTCTGTGTTTGTTTTCTACATTAATGAGCTATAA